TAAAAATATTTTGAGTTCATTTGATAACTTAAGTTGATTTTTAAAGATAAATAATAGTTTTGGCACCAAAATGATTTTTAAAAATCAAAATTTAACCTGAAAAATTATAAAACTTATTTTTTTGAGTTCTCTTTGATTAGGGGTATTTTCTGAAAATAAAATGGAGTTTAAAATAAAAACTTTATTTTTAGCCTATTTTTAAAATATTTAAAATAATTAAAAATCCATAAAAATCATAAAAGTAATAAAATTCATGGAAATGTTCTAAATTGTTTCCTAAGCACTTAGGAACAATTGAAATATTTTTTCTTATTGTCTAAATAAAGATATTGAATTTCAAAGCAAAAAAATAATTTTTAAAGGCTAAAAATGAGTTTTCACTAAAAATAATTCCAATAAATCAAATAAAATTTAGAGAAATATAAAATCTTATCCTTTGAGTTCTTTGACCTCACGAGGACTTTTCAAAAAAATAAAACTTAGTTTTCCCTATTTAAAATATTTTATATTTAATAAATACCCAAAAAATTAAAATAATTCTTAAAACTCAATTAAAATTAAAAAAATCATGAAATTTGGTCCAAAGCCTTCTCTAGTTTAGTTCTACATCTAGTAAAAATTTTAAGAGATTAGGATTTACCTTGATCAAGTTAGGAATTTTCTTTGTAAAATCCTATTTTTTGCATGAAAATAATTATGTAAATTAAATTAAATCTTGAAAAATCACATTTTCACCTATGATGTCTTAATTGACCCATTAATGAGGAAGGATAAAAATTTCAAAGTCCTTTGAATTGAATATTACAAATTATGAAGTGTTGGAGCCTTAGTGGCAAATATGTAATTTTGGAAATTTAGCCTTAATTAACATTTAGGCTTAATTTAAAGAGGGAAATGGGTAACCTCTGATCTTAATTTGTATGTTTGAAACATAAGGGGTTAATTTGTAGAAACCAACCTCACTTTCCCAATTGAAAAGATAAGTTAATAAATTTCTAAATTTTTAGAATTTGGAAGTTTATTAAAATAAAATGAATTAGTAGTGTCTTAGGCTAAATTAAGTTTCATTTAAATAAGGATTGGAAAAGTAAACATCATTTAAAATTAAAACATCTTTCAAACACTATAAGCCCAATTATAACCAAAATTTGGTTAAGTGTTCCAATAAGACTAACTTGTCTCTTTAAGAGTCTTCACCCACATAATTTTCAAAATTAAATTAGAGATGATAATTGTCTTAGTCTTAGGGATAATTGATACATCAATGTTCATTGAGCATTATAGTGTTTACATGATGAATTATCAAGCAACATAATAAGTTTAAAAGAACTCGAGATTTTCCACCAGGTAGCGAGAGAGTAGCACAGACCTGCTTCTTTCTCTAAATCTGTTGGATACCTCGGAGATCTACTAAACTTAATATATTTTGCTTGGCAACATCATCCTTAATTAAACTCCTAAGGACCCATCAAGATATGACCTAGGGTTAGATAGGTCGTCAAGATTTTACTTCCCTGTTTCATATAAAC